TATGACGCTGCTCCCATTAAGCGCTGTTGGAAGTGAATGAATTGGTTCAGCATTTCGCCATCTCCGTAAAAATGCATTTAACTCGACAAAGCGGTCTAATAAAGGATGTATTGATCTCGTGAATTAGCGAATTTTACTATACAAATATTTTTTAATTGGATGTTAAAGTTTATATGGGAATATTACATGCTATATTATGATCCTTTAACAATGCATTGGCGCAAAAAACGCACACCTTTTGGGCAAATCTGCCACAAATATTTGGACAAATGTGCCACAAAAGTGCCACAAATACTGCCTAAACAAAATACAGATTTTGTGCACTTTATTTACTGTACCAATATTTTAAATTGGCCTTTGAACTTTTACAAAAACTAATTTACAAATTCACATCAATGGCCATTTAAACACTGTAGTTAAACACATAGACAAACACGGGCTCAAACACAGACAGACAAAATGACAAAACATTCGCACAATGAGACAATAGAGAGAAACAATACAACATTAAAATTAGGGATGCACCGATATGAAAATTTTGGCCGATACCGATAACCGATTATTCTTTTTAATCTATAAACACAAGAGCTATGAGACTGAACTAGATCAAAGTAATCGCTGATATTTAAACAAACAACAGCCGTTCTGTCACCTTATAATCTCTGAACGTCTGTTCTCAGAAAAAAAAGAAATGAGAGGAGACAGCAAGACGAGACAGCGCAATAATATTTGTTTAAAAGCCTACTGGCAAAGTACGCCATTGACCTTAGGGAGCCAAAGTCATTATTATGATATTATTCCAATGAAATGAGCACTAAAACATATTTGTACAACATGTACAACATAAAAAAATGTGTTGAGAATGGCTTTTTGACACTGAGCCTTATTCATGAAAAACTAGCAGAACTAATTTCTGTGTAAAAGTCCATTCTCACGTAAACTGTTTAATTTCACTTAATGCAACAAGTTACGCACAAATGGTTTTATGTATGATTTTAAGACATTTGTTCTGCCTAAGTGTCATGATTCATGAGTAAGTCCCACTGCTTGTGCTAAATATCTAAGTAGTGCCACCTAGAGGACATTGATATCATAGCATTCATATTCTGATTATTATGTTACAGTGATGTCCACAATAGGGTAGCAGGGGGCTGAATCTGTTTTGTCTCTCTCTCTCTCTCTCTCTCTCTCTCTCTCTCCCTCTTTCACACACACTCAATCGCACACACACACACACACGCTTATCACTGACAGACAGGTTATCAGAGCCCCTGCTTGTTTATGTTTACTTGGTCTTTATTATTCAAGGACATTTTAGAAAAATATATGAGAATTTGATCTAGATCGCACTGTAGACTTCAAAGTATCTATATTCTCTGAAATACTGCCCATGTTTCACCTTGCTGCCCTTGGGCAGTTTCTAGCCCATATAGAAAAAGAGCTAGTTATTTAGCAAGACTTTATCTCTTAGCATCTTATAACGTACAGTACAGTATACACTAACATTAAAAGGTTGGGGCAAGAAATCAGTGCTTTGATTTAACAAGGACACATTAAATGTATCAAACATAATAGTAAAGACATTTTATAATATTACACATTTTCTATTTCTGTTTTAATACTGGCCATAATAATAAATGTTTTTTGAGACGCAAATCAGCATATTAGAATGATTTCTGAAGGATCATCTGACACTGAAGACTGGAGCGATGATGCTGAAAATTCAGCTTTACCACCACAGGAATACATTACATTTAAATACACTAAAATAGAATTTTAAATGGCAATAATATTTTACAATATTGCTATATTTTTAATCCGACCCCAAATTTTTGAACGGTAGTGTATTACCTAAATGAACTATGTTTTATGAAGCTATCTTTACCAGTGGGTCTCCCTCTGTGTCGCTCTGAGATACTTGTTTGGAGGCGGCTCCGTCTTTAGAGGGGCTGTAGCCATCATAGCCCACATCTTCCGGCCGCAGCTGCAGCAGTGACTGGCCTTCATGTTGCAGGGAGGCAGAGCTCCAGGGATAGGTGTCAATCACCCATTTGGACGGGTCCTCCCATGCCACCCTCTTTCCATACAGCTGGAGCAATGAGTCAAGCAGATAACAAAAAGTTTTAGCTACAAACTGTGAGAAAAAAAAAACATAATACATGATTGTGTGTGATTGCATGTATACCTGCAGTCCTTCTCGTACTGCTTCCAGCAGATATGGCACTAGAGAATAGTTCCACAGGTCGGTAAACCACACACGTGAACCGTCTGCATTCATCGGACAGGACAAGAACAGCCGAGGACCTAGAAGTGACAGGAATAAATATTTCACCTCTGTTCTGTGCAGAATAACCATATCAAATGTGGCTTGTGTGTTGTGTGTATTACCGATAGTGACGTCTGAGGAGCTGTGAGCCTCTAGGAAGGAATTGAGGTGTTGCCATGTTTTAGGGATCCAGTCGATAATTTTTATGAGGTCGTTACTGCGCATGTTTTTATCAATCTCAGTTTCAATCAGCTTTCTTCTCAGGAATCGGCCCAGGAAGCCTTTCACTGGCTCAGTGTGATTGGCACACAGCACCCACCTGAGGGGATGATGGTCTGATATTACACTGAAGAACATGACTGGAAAGATCAGTGTGCGTTTGTTTTTGTACTGTACGTGTATGTATGTGTGTAAGTGACAAATGAAAAATATGATCACTTATGGCCCCTATGTGGCGAGAGGCTGTAATAACAATCACCAGATGCTGTTTGTCTTGTTCACAACCATGTGCTACATTGACATGTCAAATATCTGAACAAAGTACCTGAAGTTATGATGCAACTCCAAGTTTGGAGATGAGGAAACACCCTGGTTCATAGTTCCTATGACATACGGGCTGTGGACGGGACAGTTGCACATAATTAGATGTAATTTATGTATATTTGATCAGTTTGATAGACAAGGAAAATCCTCAAAAATGGGTGGCATACTGTGGTTCCAGTATTGGATGCTGACATGGTCAAAAAAAGCTACGCAATGAAAACTATTAAGCTAAAACTATTAACATAATCTTTTCCTTTTAAATCAATTGTGTGAAAAATGTGTGTCCATTTTATTATTATAAGGTAGTACAGTAGCTGTTGTCTAAACCAATAACCGGCAAAACCAAAATACTGTAATATTGTGAAATATTATTGCAATTTATAATAAAGCTGAATTTCTAGCAGCCATTACTCCAGTCGTGCTATATGCTAATATGAATATGTTCATTTGGTGCTCAAGAAACATTTCATACAATATCAACGTTGCAAACAATTGTACTGCTTAATATTTTTGTGGAAAACATTCTACATTCTTTCAGGATTCTTTGATGAACAGTTCAAAAGAACAGCATTTATTTGAAATAGAAATATCTCATCTTTATCCTATCATTATAAATGTCTTCCTGAAAAACGTAAAAAAAAAATGTTTTAAAAAAAATGACCACAGATTTTTGAACGGTAGTGGATCTGCACAATATAGCAGGTCTCTCGTACCTGATTGCCTAATTAAACAAAATAAAAAAGTTCTCAAATTTGGGATAATAGGAATAATCACCATTTGTGATATTTGCAGTTGAGGAATCCATTAAAGATGTCACTAAGGGAGCCAATATGATGGAGGTTGTCCAGAATAACTACAGAGGGCAGCTCGATCTCACACTCCTCTGTGTTGCACTGCTCGGCCAGGCTTGAGAGGTACTGCCGAAGATCCTGCTTATCGCAAACACAAAGCACATGAAGTGTTACGCATCTACTGAAGACCTACTTAATTTCTATTATATAACTAATATATCAGCAACATTGATGGATGGTGTGAGTTTGAGGTGGAATTATATGTTGGTCCAACCAATAGCAGATAGGGAAAACCTTCATTAAAACCCTTATTTTTGCAATTTCATTTGTTTCCACTAGCAGCACACCTTAAAATGATTTATTTACACCCCTTCCCAGACTGGAAATATGTACCTTGCTGGATTTCTGGTCCACGTTGAAGCTAGCCAGGTTAGTGTCGGTCACCACTTGACCAGTCTTGGAGATGATGTAGTAAGCTAGTTTAGTGGCTAGGAAGGATTTACCCGTTCCGCTGGGACCAGACAAGATAATTCTATGGTGCTCCATCAGCAGGTTTAAGTAGCGTTGAATGATGGGTTTAGGAATCAGTGTGTCAAACACCAAGTCATCAATGCTACCCTCCTTCACACCTACATAAACAAAAAGACATTTTCAAATCTTCGCAGCACGTTTGACCTCTTTTATGGACCCTACAAGAACCTTCTGAGCTTCCTCACCTTTGAGACTGACTCTGATGACGTTGTTGTCGCCCACCAGATATCCACATGGCAACAGTTCAGGAACCTCAGAGGCATGAGATCGGACCACATCCCCCATTCTGTAGCACACTATACTATCCGAATTCAGGCCCAAACTGGTCAATGGGTCCACTCGGAACACATACTCCTAAATGCAAGCAAAATGAATCTGTTAGACCTGAAATATGGCACCTGAAACATGCATCTACTTTTGCAAGAAGCTGAACTGGCACCTTAAACAAGCGTCGTATTACACCGTCCAACACATCCCACTTTGTCTTGCCGCTGACGCCAATGGAGCCAATCAGATACTCCTTCTTCTGCCTAGCCTAAGATGATGAGAGGATACGAAATGATGCTTGTAAGGTATTGTTTACTAGTAGTTTCATTTCAAAACAGCTGATGGAATTCAAAAGACTCTCTTAATACCTTGGTTTTGTTGGAGTCACTGTTGATGGTGACCACTATACGGACACTCCTGCCCTCTTTGCGTAGATTGCCCTCATAGCCATCATCGAGCAAAATATCTGTGCACACAAACGCAAACTTCAAACTCACTTCGTGACAAAAATATCAACGCCTGAACAACTCAAAAGACTTATCGCCAAATGAGTCATTAACTGTGGGGGAGCAGAACCTTTTCAGTGCTGACAAATTCGGTAAGCGACGACACTAATGTTCAGCTTTGACTGTAGTTAAACGCCAACTGCTTTAAGCTTTGCTTTCTGTGGGGTTGAGCTGTTTGGTTTTAACAGGGCTTTGAATGCAGGAAGAAGGCTGTTAGTGGAGGAGTGCGGCTTTTATGGGCCGAGTACGAAGAGCTTGGTGAATGGGCGGGAGGGAGGTGCTTTGTATTTGTCTGGCACGCTGTTCTGCAGAGGGGTGATAACGTCCTTCCACCACACGCTCTACTGCTCCTCCACACATCTCTCCATCAATTAAGCAGTCCAAAGTCCTGAGAGAGCACAAAAGTCACTACTTTTAATTAGCCGGAGCGCAGACGAGTCTTCGCCAACCCGTCCCGAGACGTGGCCATATGCCCGGCGTTCAAATCCTCCCTTAAAGAAAAGAGGCCATTTCACTCTTCGCTGCGTTCATTCTCTTCCACACGCCAGAGTTTTCATCATCGCCACACTAGAATCATCAATAATACAGCCATATGCAATACACTGCACACTGGTGGAAAACGGACTCGTCAGTTCGACAAAAAAACTTCTACATGGACAGCTACGACGAGAAGATTATATGTATGAAGTTTGCTTGCAATGCTTTTAATTGTGACCTTATATGCCAAATAGAAACATGTCTCACAAGAAAACACTAATGCAGCACTGTTTATCATGTATCACCAAAACGCTGAGTCATAAAAAACTTAAGTTATAATAATAAAGGCTAATCTGGTTTTTACACCAGTTTTTGAAATATGAGTTGTACTTGCCCATATAAAAAGTCACTGCCTTGATGCTAGGGAGTGGCGGATGGTTGCGAGGCCATTGCTTTGTGGTTTCTAAGGTGTTCTGAGAGTTTTTTAAAGCATTGCTATGTGGTTATAGGGTGTTTTTGAAGGTTGAAAGGTGGTTGCTTACTAGCCAAAGAGCAAAGAGTCCATCCCTAAGTCTTTATGATATTTTGATTAATAGATATGGCTCCATTAATGTAACCCTTTTGGATTCTGTCAACGATTTTATCATCCACCACTAATAATTAAGATTAGTGTCAATCTGAAACCTGTTATATTGAACTTTTGTTGCATTATATGAGGTATATTAGCTTGTATACTGTAAATATTCATGTTGCATAATGTATATACTGTTATATTTGACCAGGCTAAGTATAAAGCTAATGTAATTGTTGCTATTAAAAAATGCCATCATACTGGCATTCTAGCTAATTCCATAACAGAATAACATCTGAAGAACATCCAAAGGCTTTACAGAATCATCCAAAACAAGGCTAGAGCGACATTTCGATGGTGCATAAACATTGTTAGACCCAAATAGCTCCACATTCAAGGTCTTCATGAAGCAAAGTCTGACCTGACATAATGGTGTCTGTGATGTTGAGGTTGTTCAGCGACAGCCCCAGAGATTGCCGTGAGGACGAGGAGGACGTGCTGGAGGTTTCTGAAGGGGGACGGGCCGTTTTAGCAGGTGTGGCAGCAGGTGTGGTGTTGCCGCTGGACTTCAGTCTGTCGTTCTCTGCCTTCAGCAGCTCAATTTCATTCTGCATGTAAAAAAAAAACAGGTAATGTCAACACTACAGTGATAGTTTTGACAAATGTATGTACATTTCCCTAACTGAAGAGAAACACATATGCAATTCACACACAATATTGTGACTAAAATTCACAAATCCACATTTGGTAAGGTTAAGAAGGGAAAAGTAAAAAAGTAACTTTCCTACAAACTTCTGTGACATGCTAAGTGGATTAAGACTTGCTGTCTGTTGTCGAAGTTTCTAAACGGTTTCTAAGGCTTTTAAAGACTGGGAGAAGTTAGTTTAAAGATTTCTTTAATCTTTAGATTAGTCTTGCGTGCCAGGCTCTGCAAACAGATGCTAAGGAGAAGCTCAGACAGATATTTCAAGAGTATGAACAACTCCGTCTGGGTGTTTTATCTTGGAATTAGAGCAATTTAGCCCTCTGATCTTAGTCATTCAATCACTCTGTTACAGACTTTAAAGTGTTTGCTAGCAAACAGTTCCTTAAACAAATCAACTCTCACTGGCTCTTTCAAAAAGTATATGGGACTCCACAAACTTCTTAATGATCTCTGCTATGAGTGTTCTGTGTGGATCCTAATAGTGTACTTTTCCATAATATTAAAAGACAAATACTATTATTATGTTTTATTATATACACTACTGTTCAAAAGCTTGGGGTCAGTAAGATTTTTGTTAAAGAAATGGAAATGTTTTAATATTTCACAATATTACTGTTTTAATTTTTTATTTGAAAAAATAAATCCTTGATAAGCATGAGCGACTTCTTTTAAAAACATTACAAAATCTTACTCAGATTTTCATAGATCACTGCATTGCACAAATACACTGTATAAGAATTCACAAGGCATTGATATAATGTTGCAGCACTCTGGAGTGAGTCAGCATGTATGCGTGTGTGTGTGTGTGTGTGTGTGTGTGTGCACGTACCTGCATGCGGTTCATGGCTTCTCGTATCTGGTCAAGGTGGTGGGCTATAAGAATTCACAAGGCATTGATATAATGTTGCAGCACTCTGGAGTGAGTCAGCATGTATGCGTGTGTGTGTGTGTGTGTGTGTGTGTGTGTGCACGTACCTGCATGCGGTTCATGGCTTCTCGTATCTGGTCAAGGTGGTGGGCGGAGCTTAACGCCTCCAGTCTGATATCAGTCAGCTTCAGCTCCTTCTCTCTCAGCTCGTTCTTCAGCTGGAGGATAACCTCTGCCTCGGCCTCTGTACATTCACACAATCTGCACAAACACACCGTACAGGGAGGAGGGAGTCACAACACTGTTACACATCCAAGAGAGCTACAAAACACAGGCGGGTTTAAGTCACAACAAACTCCTGGAGAATTAGACGTGGTCAGAATATTTACATACACAAACACTTTGATGCACACATATTCACACTCTTGTGTTTTTTGTTTGCGGCATTCCATTCAAAGTTGGACATAGACATTTGTTCTTGATATCTCTGAAATATGGTTCTATGTTTGAAAGATGATTTATAAGAAAGAAAATGCTACAAAGTACATTTTTAGCATTATCTGTGTAAATCTCTTTGGGTGGCAGCATTTTCGACTGACTTCATACATCTTCACACCTTGATGGAATCAGAGTTGTGAATTTCTGCATGTTTGGAATCCAGACTTACAGTAACATTCTATCAGGCTTTTCTTGGTAGGAAATTCCAATATTTTGAGTTGAATGGAATCCAGCTTTAGAGATCATGCACATGACCAACACAAACAGGATTTATTTAGTTTTTACAAAAATGTTTTTAATAAAAGTTTCCATTATTTAGTACATCTCCCATTAATATTAGTGTGTGTCATAAAATGCTCATGTGAAATGTGACTGAAATATAGAGGAAGGGATATCTTTTGTTAACTAGCTTTGGTGATTTTAGTCACTACACACTCTCAACCCTACCCAGCATGCCACACTATGCCTGTTACCGAGATCTGTGCTTGTAGACCACATGACCGTTTGACTTTTTCTTTGGCATCCAAATGGGGGAGGACTTGCTATCGCAAAAACACTTTCTAAATACACATGACATTGAGGAACAGGGACAGAATACAGATATGATTAAGGGAAAGGATGAAATATAAAGATGATTATCAAAAAAAGAAAGCAAGCAAAAAAAGAATCTCAACAAAACATGCAATAGGGTCACTGTACAATACAGTAAGTGGAAGTTACTGATGAAAAAAAAGACTTATTTATTGGATGTGTTGTGGTCCTTTATGTGCAAGTGAGGTTTGTGACTGAAATAAAACCAAAGTATATAAACAAACATAACAAATATGCAAATGTTTATGGATGTCCCTCATTTCATGGTGGTGTCTAATACTGTATATATGTGTGTCTGTACTCACTCTGTGGTGGAAGGTGATGAGCGCAGTGGTTGGGTGGGGCTGGTCTGTCTGTTGGTGTGTTGTAGTTTGGGTGAAGAAGGGAGGGAGGAGTCAGTCATCTCTTCAATCTCATCATGAGATGATTGGGGCTTGTTGGTCTTTTTCTTGCTGAAGGCCTGCTTAAAGGAGCTCCGCAACTGCAAGTAAACAACACAAATCAATATAATTAATATAGCCAGACAACAATCATTTCAAAACATTCTGTGTGTCAGGCAGAAGATATGGATTAATTCGATTCATAGCTTGGGAGAATTATGTATCTGTACTAACTCTGGATATTCCAGTAACAATTTATAACAAATTTCAGTAATATTATTAAAGGAATAATCTGGCTCACTCGCATGCTGTCAATTACCACAGAAAATAATTTACCATACAAGGAAACAAGGTAAAATCATTGGCTACGTTTACATGCACAATTTTTGGTTCAATCGGACTGAATTCATTCCGATTGATGAATCTGAATGTAGTGTTTACATGAACGCTAAAGAAAGTGATCGGGTTGATGTGCGTGTTTATATGTCACAAGCTTCAAATCGGAATAGATTTTTTTTGACATGCGCACACTGCACAAATGTAGAGTTTCTCACTTTTTGCACATAATAACCACTCTGCTACACGGTTTATTTATTTGTTTTTAACAGCAGAATTAATATTTATTAATTTATGGATAAATATACATATAAACCGCTGTGCCGTGCTGCTCATATTTATCACACAGTAAAAATGCCCCTCCCCGCACACAAAACGGGTTGCCTTTTGATGAGAATCCAAAACCAGGACCGGTGTGAGGTTGTCCTGCTCCACTTCACAGTTGCCGAGTGAAAGGAGAGTTTTATAATGACAGGACATGCATTTATACAACACTTTATTCCAAAGGAAGAACCGCTCGTTCCGCGCGTCATACGTCATTATGCTATTTCTGCGTCATTGCACACGCGCAGTCCTTTCAGTTTCGGGGTTCAATCCGATCGAGTGTTTACATGCACTCTCAATCATATTAGAAAAGGAATAAACCACCCTCTTCAATCCGGTCGAAATTTCGAAATCGGATCGATTAAGGTGTTTACATTAAGTTTTTTCAGTCCGATTGAGCCGTCAATCCGATTACAAATGGATTATTTGGTTGCATGTAAACGTAGCCAATGAAACAAATGTGTGTACAGAAATGCACTTACAATGAAAGTCTATACAACATACAACAAGATTTCCATTGTAAGGGCATTTCTGTCAACATAGCTTTTATTTTTTACAAACTTTTCAGGATAAATTATCTTCTGCGGCAACCAACTACATGGCACAGTAGTTTTATGCAGCCCGTAATATTCCTTAAGTATTTTCCTTTTTTTCCTTTGTATTCAAATTATATATATATATATATATACTGTATATATATATATATATATATATATATATATATATATAATCAATACAATCCAGAATTAAATACTAAAATATTGCATTAAATAGTGAAAGTTTTATAAAGTGTTACTATATAGATAAAGACATCACATGGGTGATTTTTGGTAAGCTTAAGATAAAGGTTAAAAATATGGTTGATTGTAACATTTTGGGAGGGTAGATAATGGCTTGCTTGTATAATTGTCTGAGCAGAACTAATTAAGCAGCAGAAACATACTGGCAGTCAGTGGGACTGGGGATGCTGGTGGCATGCAAACGTTTCTATGGAAACGCTTAGGATTTGGGGGGGGGTGGGGGCAGTTAAGGGGGTAAGGTTATCAGAGGCAATCGGCCGCAGTGATGCGGGACGAGGAAACACTGACCTGGGCGGGGATGGAATCAGCCACCTATGGACAAAACACACTTACTGTTACCATTGACTGAAACGTGCACCGCTGGACCAGAATATTCAGACACAGCGGTATCATTTATTCATTGTTCATTTGATTAGCTCTGAATGATTCATGGAGGCTGTGCCTGTCAGTATGGAACTAGATAATTCCACATAACAGCATTCCACAGGAAACCTATGTCCCCTACATCATTTGAGATCAGTGCGCTCAACAATAAGGAATTTTTTTCTGACCTGGTCAGGCCAGTAGCTCTGACTGTACTTGCTCAGCTAGTTTTCTATGTATTTTTACGTGTTTGTAATTAAGCATTTTCTTCTTTTGTTCATATACACACAAATAACATATATTACATATTCAATATTTATTAATATGTTTAATTAAAACTATAATATATTCTATACTTAAAAAAAACAATTATGAGGGAATGTAAGATGTAATGACAATTAGGTATACTGCAATATCAGCAAAGTATTTCTATGCGTTAGAACACAAATATATAATATTCATTCAACTTTTTTCTGTATTTTTAATACAATAAAATGTGTGCATACATGCAAAGCATTTAATATAATAATATATTTATCATATATTTTAATTAATATATGTAGTATACACAATAAATGTAAACAATGTAAAATTACAACGCAAGACTAGACTGCATTACATTTTATTTTTAGTAATCTAGATTTTAGTCTGAAAAAATATTTTTTTTTCATTAAACATTTCCATATATCCATATTAAATTATTTTTCATAAGATAACTCTCTCACAATGTATCCTTATTGTTAAGCCCTGTTATGAATATATTGTTTCACAACCTTTGTCGCACTCACTTTCTTTTTAGTTTGCTTTCTCACTGTCTTTCACCTTTAAGCAACATTTCCAGACTGTTTGACTCTAGAGACCACACTGCCTCAATTATGCAGATGAATAATTAATGGGCGCATAAATAAAGAGGTGATTTGTATTTATGGGCTCAGTTTGAGCTCTGCTCTCATTACAAGAGTCCAGGGCAGCTTGAGGAAAAGTAGCCATAACTGCTGCACACAATGCCAATGCTATTTTTCAAACAGCTGTTTACCTCAAGTGCTCTTGACTTAATGCACACCCTAAATGAGAAGAAACAACAGCCCGCTAGCGTTAGGAGATAATAAATCTGTAAAATAACTGCGAACTAGAACAGCTGACTAGGAGTAAAACATGCACAATTGCATCTTAATAACATACGTAAATATATCACCAGTAATGACTGCAACTTGAGCGAAAAGATGTTCTTAATTTGTGCATTCCTCAAAAGAAGATATAAAGATTGGTTTTCTAAAGGGTAAGCACCAAAGGGTGAGGAAGTTTAGGGTTTTGAAGGGCCAGTGACGGCAAAAAAAGTGGGACGAGCATGTCGGATCCTCCATAAGGGCATGCAGGAGAGTTTGAGGATGTGTTATAGTCACCTTGTGTCCTTTATCCTTGCCCTGGTGGTGTGGTGAGAAAGTGAGAGACAGAGAAAGTGTGAGAGAGAGTGTGAAAGAGGGAGAGACAGCCGGAAGGGGGTGAAATGACAGAAATGTACGTGCTACATGTACTTAATGTTCCCAAAGTCGAAACTGAGAGAGCAGATGCCACTACTAGAATGATGACTGAATTAACATCACTTCATAGTAAAATAATTTGATAAAAGCCTTAAAATATGTGATAAAGACACATTTTTCTACTCTTTTGTTTCCTCAATGTTAGTCAAGATTTCAAAAACAGTTGCTAAATACCTCAAATTTGTTAATATATAGACATAGGTCGCAACATTATAATAAATTTGGTCTGGGTGGCGCCATTTATGGAGTATTTGCCCAAAAAAGTATTTGGACACTTAAGGCACACTTAAAAATGCATGAACATCATGACATAATAACAAAATATATGAATGATTACACAATAAGTATATTAAAAAATAGTGATTATTTTACAGATAAGAAAATCATATCTTTATGTAAAACAACTCACAAAAGTTTGTGTCAGAAAAAAAGGAGACATTTTTCATTAAACATTTTTATTTTATATTTGTATAATAAATTATATTTATATTATAAATCATTAAATATCTGTTCAAAATTAAATTATGGAAAATTTCTGATTATAAAACCTTAAAGGGATAGTTCACCCAAAAATTTAAATTTGATGTTGATCTGCTTACCCCCAGGGCATCCAAGATGTAGGTGACTTTGTTTCTTCAGTAGAACACAAACGAAGGTTTTTAACTCAAACCGTTACAGTCTGTCAGTCTTATAATGGAGGTGAATGGAAATCATGGCTTTGAGAGTAAACAAAACATACACAAACAAAACCACATTAAACCCTGCGGCTCGTGACGACACATTGATGTGTAAAGACACGAAACGAATGGTCTGTGCAAGAAACTGAACAGTATTTATATAGTTTTTTTTTACCTCTGATTCACGCAATGTCCGAACTGTCCTTCCTGAGTGCGTTCTCAACAGCAGGCACGTGAGGCGTCTTCTTCTTCTTGCTTTACGGCGGATCGCAGACTATGTTGACAGACTTAAGTGCATTACCGCCACCTATCTCTCAAATGGACCATTGACACTCTATCTACAATCTCAATTAGGAGCGTCAATGGTCCACTTGAGAGATAGGTGGCGGTAATGCACTTAAGTCTGTCAACATAGTCTGCGATCCGCCGTAAAGCAAGAAGAAGAAGAAGACGCCTCATGCGCCTGCTGTTGAGAACGCGCTCAGGAGGACGCGCCAACGCTCAGGACAGTTCGAACAGTTCGGACATTGTGTGAATCAGAGGTAAAAAACGATATAAATACTGTTCAGTTTCTTGCACAGACCATTCGTTTCGTGTCTTTACACATCAATGTATCATCATGAGCCGCAGGGTTTAATTTGGTTTTGTTTGTGTATGTTTTTTTTTTACTCTCAAAGCTGTGATTCCCATTCACCTCCATTATAAGACTGACAGACTGCAACGGCTTGTGTTAAAAATCTTCATTTGTGTTTTACTGGAGAAACAAAGTCACCTACATCTTGGATGCCCTGGGGGTAAGCAGATCAACATAAAATTTTCATTTTTGGGTGAACTATCCCTTTAAGATCACTAAAATAACCATGACACCAGTTCATAGCAAAAACGATGCTGGAAATGTAGTTTTGAGTAAAGATCTAGCAAAATTTGAATGCAGATGTTACTTAGCTTGATATTTTGTTATAGTGACATTAATATATATATATACAGTGGGTACGGAAAGTATTCAGACCCCCTTACATTTTTCACTCTTTGTTATATTGCAGCCATTTGCTAAATATATATATATATATATATATATATATATATATAAGTCTCGCTTATGTGTTCACATAATTTTGAGGGCCACTTAAGTTCATCAAAATATATATATTTTTTTTTAATTCTGCGCTCTTTCATCACAGTTGTAGTCATCATTCTAACCGTGGATGAGCCTTGTGGTGTGATGATGAAGCTTTGTGAAGTGACTCACCCAGCTTTTCTTCTTTTTCTTCTTGTCGTCTGCATCTTTAGCGCTACCCATACTGGAGTGGCTGGCTGCACTGTTAATACTGGACATGCTTTCTGATGAGTGCTGTCGACGGATCCTCAGGTCTGCTACACACACAAAGGTCAATGCATAATAAACATATTTGTGAATTACAGTGAGGCACTTACAATGGAAGTGAATATGGCCAATTTTAAGAGCAGAAAACTGAAGCTTACAATTTTACAAAAGCACTTACTATAGATTTATTCTTCAGCTAAAACTTGTATTATTGTATTATATAAGCTGTGAAGTTTAAATTGTCTATTTTACATGGCTTTATGTGTTACTTTGTCATGGAAACAAAGAAAAATGGCTTATACCTTTACACAGAAAATGTTAATTTTACATCACGTTAAAAAATAAAATTAATTTTAGCGGTCATTGATATTATACCACAAGTGTTGCTGACTGGTGTGGTCAGACTGAAGAAATTTCATGGGTAATAAAGGTCAATTATCTATTCAATAGTGTAGTGATGTATGAAGCATAGCTAACACTATCACAAGTCACTTTCAAGCCAAGCAGCTTTCTGTTGGTAGATACAGAAAATTTGTGTGACCAACTTGAACCCCCTGCAAAATCTGCGTGGGAAGATCCACATGAAATGACTGGACTTTGTCTGTGGAAATTCACTGAACAGCAGTAAATGTGACCGTACCTTAAATTGTAGTGAATCCAAAATATTCATTGAATAATTGTAAAACAGAAAGACAAATTTTGATGTACACAAGCAGCACCTTTATGAACGTGATCAGGGCCGTTGAGGGCAACTTGAATGGCCGTCTGAGCATCTGTGTTCTGAGTTTTCAATGCCTCGATGGTCTCTCTTAACTCTGCAAGCTCGGACTCCTACAACACAATCACACAAACGCAGTTACTATGAAAATAATCACAAACCACTTCCCTTAATTGCTTAGAAAGGAAAAAGCACGCCTCACCCCATCAAGCCACATGATTATGATTAATGTATGTTACTCAAATGGTGCAAGGCGAGTTGTGCACCAAACTTGAACACTTATGGTAAGTGGTTTGTTCAAATCCCAAACTCTAAGTATGCACAATAATATTTCTGATGCTAGCAAACATTGCTAATTAAAATATCACATCAGCTTTACTTCAGAATCACTAGAGATGAAGTGAGCCACATGGCACTTGCAGTTTTTGACCCTACACAAACTCTTTTGTATACAAAACGTACACTCTCCCTCGTACCATACCAGCTGTCTTATTCCTCTATCAGATGTTTTCTGCCCAAAAAAGCACATGTGGAGATAAGCGCCCCACTGATCTGAGGAACTGAGCATGTGTTGTAGGCCCCCAACCATCCCATTTCACCGCCACACGGTCTCTGTATATGCAGAGCTCAGGATTTTAGAGCTTGCGATAGGGTTTCTGCTTTAATTGAAAGTCGGGCCGCCTTGACAAAGACGTCCCTCTGTAATCTCTGATGGTTTATTCAAGAGGGATTAACAGCGGCAGGAACTCATTAAGTCGACGAGGGTGCTTTGTGCCAATTATGGGAGCAGTTTCACATTTTAACCTGAAGGTTACATTTACATGATGACTAGATGGTTTTGTTGAAAGTGGTTGGAAGAACTGCTCGGACTTGTCCCAAAAAAAACGTAATATCATCTGATTAGTAGAATACTGTATGCGCTGAACACTAAAAAACATTTAAATGTTTTAGTTATTTGTGTGTGTAGGACCATTCCTACCTTTTGCTCCGCTGTCATGGTTAGACTCTGCAGTCGACAGGTCATGTTTGTCAGACTTTTCTCAAATGCCGCCACCAGGTGTGCCTGTCAAAACACACACACACACACACAGAATTTAACACAAGGTTCTCATAAGACTTCACCAAATCCACAGGGTAAACCAGACAGAATTCTGGGTCAAACTGTTGCAAAGTGAAACTTGCAACTAGGTTCAAGGTTATCAAAGTTGAGTCACTGAATATCTAGAGGTAGTTATATGGAGAAATAATTGTTGTGTTGATAGTGTGTACAACTACCATTCAAAAGTTTGGAGTTTGGTAAGGTTTTTAAAAAGATTTTGAAAGAATTATGTCATGCTCAGAAATGCTGCATTTATTTTAAACAGAAAATACTGTGAAAAATCATTACAGTTTAAAATAACTGTTTTCTTTTGCAATACATTTTAAATTTATGTAATTTATTCCTGCGATGGCAAATCTGAATTTTCAGCAGTCATTACTCCAGCATTCAGTGTCACACGGTCCTTTCAGAAATCATTCTAATATGCTGATTTGGTGCTTAAACATGTCTGATTATTATCAATGTTGAAAACAATCTTTTGTAATATTATAAATTTAAATGTAATACATCCTTGCTGTAATTAACACTTTAAAGCATCAATTGTAATATATCTCACTGATCCTAAACCTTTAAGAGTTTGAAATTGTATGTTTGCATAGGGTATCTGGTTGACCTTCTATATACTCCTGACTTTATATTTCATTTCCAGCGTTATGTTTAAACTAGAAGTCAAATTTTACATTTAAAAACTTGATCTCCTTCATGACTGGTTATTTGACAGAACTGACAATAATTAAGACATTTCTATACAAAAAAGAATTTTAAAAAGTTAAAATCATCATTATTTGCTGATTTAAATGACATACATTTCCTGCTGCAGTTTAAAATACTGATCACCAGATAATGCATTCTATTTCCAACATAATATATTTTTTTAAATAGTATGCAGTATATAGTTTATACTGAACAGTATGCTTGTATTCCATTCCAAATATAGAAATCAACTCACATTGCCTGCTTTCCTGTCAGCTATACAAACTGTGATGACGCCAGTAGTGTGAATGCAGTGGGTGTAAAACAAGTACACGGTGAGACCCACATTATAGATTCACAGGTCTATTAAGTTTATCCTTCCATGTATAAAAACTTAAATCATACTCTGGGCATCTGAGCACAAAAAAGTATTATATATCTTTGTATCCACCTAGTCTGAGCCTCCAGAGAGTTCCTCCTGGGTAATTCAGATCTATACTGCACTGGCAAGCTGAATAGTGCTGTGAACTACTCAACAGCCGCCAAGGGCTTTGAAGCATGTTTCAGATTTAAGCTACTGAGATGGAGTTCAAAGGATCCACGATGTCTAAGGCTTGTCTGAACACAAGGCCCCAGGGCTTTGGTGGAGGAGACGTCTCTAACGCTGACCTCAGCTACACTGAAAAGACTTCTGATGTCAGTGAATGCAAAGGAGAACATACGAATATTCACACAACGAAATGTAACAATCTTAGATTTAATACATCAAAAACATCATCTGACATCTGGCTATCATCTGACCTATGACTCACAGTGTTCTTAAAATCGGAACAAAACAAAACTAAACAAAAAAAAACTAGCAATAAAATAAAACAAAACATGGTAAATGCATGTTTGAACATATTTTGTCCTTCTTCTCTTGATTATTTCTTGTTATATCTACTACTATACTATAAAAATGACACAATAATCAAAGGTACAAAGTACAACACAACTTGTAAAATAAAAGTCTAATATTAAAAATAAATATCGCAGTGTTTTATTATATTTTTAGCAGTAGGCAGAGCTTTATTCAAAAGGTTCTTGGTATATACTATTTAAAATGCCTGCCAGGAAGTGAAGGCAAGCGAACACTGAGAGGCACAATGCCAAATGCTTGAGTGACTCTAATGGGAGAGCGCCTCTATAAACACACTTTTACGATGTGCCCTGCCCTGACCTGTTTGTCCATCCATTTATATTCCCTCAACTATCTGTCCGCACTGAGGCTCTCAGCCCAGTCAAGCACATCTGAAACAAGCGGCATTTCCAAAATCCATACACAAAGGTGCCTGACGCACGAATCCCACTAAACAAACTCTCACCTGTCTACAATCTCAAGGTGAACATTAAAGTTGTTTTCAACTATGATATTCACCAAAAACGAAAGCCACATATTAAGAATATGATGCAGCAACATAAAACCGCATATATAAAGCCACATCTCATGTTATCCTCCTACCTGGTGTGGTTGTGATGAAATCCAGATGTTTTGCAGCCGTAACGACGTCTGAACAAACTGATTTTGGCTCTCTTTGCCTGGATAATGGCTAAAGCACTACCACTGTTAGCCACAGCCATCCTTAAGCTCTCTCACACCCTAAAACACTATAGAACTGCACAGAATCTCTGACACAAATGCGCATGAGACTGAGGGATTATCCAAGGGGTGGGCACAAAGTTGTGGATGGAAGAAATAGAGAAACTTTGAAAGTTCATACCCTAACTTGGACACTTAATATACACTTAAAAGCAAGTTATGGACCTTTTGAATTTGTAGGTGACTTTTAGTGGAGGATTCTCTCAAACTTCAAAAAGTGTGCTTATGCTAATTTTAAAATAAATTGTTTGATATTGGTTTGATATCTAATGGAATGGTAATCACTGTGTTGTTAGTGTCCAAATCATTTTTGGGTCCAAATGTAAAAACATTTTTTTTCAGAAAGTGCAGTATGATCTTCATATGATGCGTTTCTGTGTTGTTCATTCGTCATTTTATTTTATACACCACCTTGCTGTGGAACATCAGGATTTAACAGAAAGAAACAAAGATGCTCTTTTGAATCCCTGAACACCAACTTTCAAAAGTTGTTCTGACACTGAGTAGCTCAAAAACATCTGGCCGGAGAGCAGACATTTCAATCCACTCAACTATTGTACAACTTGAATAGATGTAGTTCGGAGCAGTTCTCCCATACACGAATCCTGTCAAACACAAATCACAGAGGAGGTCGAGTGGAGAGACAGCAGCTGTCTCATGCTCTGTCACACTTCTCACTAAACTGTCAGAGAGCAAAGCCCTGCATCACACCTGCCTTCATCACTCCAGAGACAGGAAAGTGAATCGAGCACAGCCCAGTCCAAACTTTGCTCTCTTCGTGCGATGCATTCACACAGAAATGTAATAAGTTTAAGTTTACTTTATTTATATAGCACATTTAAAACAGCCACAAGACTGACCAAAGCGCTTCACAGTAAGAAACGTCATCATAAAAATTTAGTAATACAAAAATTAAAGCACAAATAAGAAATACAATAGGCAAAAATATAGTCCTAATAGGCCAATGAAAACAAATGGGTTTTTAAAAGAGACTTAAAAATAGACAGGCTACGGGCCGTTCTGATCTCCACTGGCAAATCATTCCAAAGACGAGGCCCAATTACTGAGAAGGCACGGTCACCTCTACGCTTGAGTCTGGTATGCGGAATTACAATAAGGTTCTGGTCGCAGAGGGGATATACTGATGCAGCAATTCAGATAAATAAATGGGAGCTTGATTGTGCAGAGATTTAAAGACAAATAATACGATTTTAAAATGTATTCTAAACTGAACAGGCAACCAATGAAGGGTCTTCAAGAGCGGAGTGACGTGATCCCTTTTTTTCTTTTTTAAAAGGAATCTAGAGGCAGCGTTCTGGACCACTTGAAGATGGGCAGTTTGAGTTTTAGATATGCCACAGTATAAAGAGTTATAATAATCGAGACGCGATGTAATAAAAGCATGAACCGCCATCTCCAAAGTCTTGTCAGTGAGAAAGTGTTTAATTTTTGCTAGTGTACGGAGTTAGGGGAAGTATAAGCTACCAGTCCTAGTTTAACTACTTTATCCTTAAAAAACCTTGCGAAGCTTTCACAAAGAGCGACAGAGGCAACATACATAGTATTGATAGGGGGATTGACAACAGAATTTATAACAGAAAAATTAACAGAGCAGTCACATTCATTACATTAAGCCAAGCACTGTTTAACAGACTCAGATGTTCTTCCGCATCCAAGTCCAATAAGGGAGAGTCCAGAAGTAAATGAGAACAAGACTTAGCAAAGTATTGATTAAAATTTACACTGAACTGAGGAGAATAAACCCGAGACAGAGATATTACTTTAGTAGAGACACAAGAAAGACTAGGAAGAGACATGGAAAATAAAATAGGCTTGTGATCAGAGAGCATATAATCAGAAACTGTAACATGGCTTGTGATCAGAGATGCTGTGAAACACAGTGTCCTACTTTGACAATGTAGGGAAATAAAAGTAAGACTTCTACTCAGAATATTAGTCAAAAATTAAAAGTTTGAGAATTCAAATTCCCAAACATACAGACTATGAACAGTCAAGCTTTAAAAGTCACCGCAGTGCATTTAAAAAAAAAAAGATTTTTTTATGTTGCATGTTCGTACAAAATGCAGGTTTAACCATGAAACAAGAATACATTCGTTTTTAGCACTTATAGGGAAAAGTTACTGATCATTGCATGTGAAGCATTACATGACACAGCATATACAAAAGTCTGCAGTCTTGGACAAATGTTAGCAGGAGAGAGAACAGTAATGGCGCACAAACACAAAAGGAAGTGACATCAAAGGAAAATCAGTGATCAAAAGTGAACCCGGGAAAGTATGGATGTGAGTGTTAAAGAAGTGTGTGTGCCAGTGAGAAAGTGAATTACAGATATCGATACCATAAGAGTGTCTCATAAAATAATGCAACATAGGGTTATATTTTCAATTTTGAAAACACTTGTTGTTAAACATATTGGTTTGTTTGTCCGATTCAGTCAACCACCTGATGTTGGACTTTGTGAAAGTGCATCACTGTTTGACCTTTTATTGCTTTTACATATTTGATTCTACCAAAATCACAAATATAATTAGGAAACAAGATATTATTACCTCCGAGTGGGCCTTCTCCTCCGTCTGTGGAAGAAAACAACAGTTAAAGGACATGAAAAATGACCCAAATACAATATTACCAACATCCCAATAGCTTTTTTTTGCACACATAACCTTAAAATCACTTTCCTAATAGATCCAATAAGAAGAAAGAATTAAGAAGCCAAAATCCACACCAGCTCTTTCCAAACAATTAAAGGTAAGTCACAAAGCCATACAAAATAACCAATGATCAGAATTTTGACATTTGGATCAGACTTTTGGTTATCCGTTAGTAGTAGCTGATTTGAAGCCAAACGTTAGACTGTTAGGGTTTGCATGTAATTAAAAATGTGAAGGTGAATACAAGCAGACTTTCTGCATGACGAATTATTACCTTGTCTAAAAATGCCAGCACCTGAAAGTGAGAAAATGTGTGTTCAAACAGTGGCAAAGTCACAATACTGAGCCACCATGAGCCATCTCTCTAAATCTCTTCACAGCCTTGATGAATAGTGGATGTAACAGTAAGTGTTCAACTTTCATAACTTCTCAAATAAATGACTCCTTAAATGTATTAGTTTTTCAAGCTCAGGCAAATGGAAACAGCATGTATGAGCTTACTGTTATTCAGATACTAGCAGTTAATATTGATGAATTTACTATGAACTAATATAACTTTTAATATAAAAAGCAAGATTCAAGCAAGGAATGTAACGTTTATCTATTATATTTTGAAAGGAATATATATATAATGCTTACATTTCATTAATATATATATATATATATAAATTAATGAAATGTAAGCACAAATTAGTTAAAATACATAATTGCACTGAAACAATACACTCAAAGAGACTTTATCATTATAGGGTACAACAGAGTTTTCACTACTCTTATAGTGTATGATTGCAAAAATAGGTTTGTAGCATTTTTTTTTTCAATAAATACATTGTCATAAAATATGGTCATTTAAAAAAATACATTATAAATATGGTGATTATCTGTAAAGTGGATAAATGGCTTAATAAATAGTACTGACCTTTTTGAATCTAATCATGTCATGTCAACAAATGAAAATATCTGCCAGCTATTATCTCATAAATTATTCTGCCCCAAAAGTAGAGGCTTTTTTTCCCCCTCAAATACCATTATTTTACATGTTCTTTGGTTTTGAAAAACTGTTTATTTAATTACCTTCATTGAAACAGAAGGCTTTTGTCTCAAAATAATTTTAATGATCATCATTTGTTTTAACAAAAAAATTCAATATTAGATTAATTTAATGAAAAATTGACTTTGCATTGCTGCCCGCATGCATAGTGAAACATTGATGTTTAGAAACCTTTTATTTTTTTGCCATCTAGTGGTTTAGGGGACAATAGTATTAAACTGATATTTTACCCTGGTGTGCCTTTATTGTATCATATATTTTTTTTAAGTACTGTTGATTTATTTATGTGTACAACTTTTAAATGAAGAAACATGAGGAAACATGCTTTTTCACAGATATATAAAATCTCAAAGAAAGCTACAGCCAAGACTTCCTATTTCTTTTGCAAAATTTGACAGTTTAGTCAGTCTGTTTATTACAACCTTTTGTAAGAACACTGTAAGGTCACTCACCGCAGAATACAAAGATGATGTGCTCGAGACCAAAGATAGAGAAGAACCATGAACTGCAGACAGAACAGAACAACACAAGAGAGCAAAAATATTTCTTTCTTTAATGCTTCAGGAAACCTACAACCTACTGTTTTCTAACACACAGATGCACAAACAGAAAAGTTATAGATGTAAATGTACAGATAAATACATTCTTCTAAAGGAAGTAACTGCAATGCTAACCTTCATCTGTGCTGTCCCGGAAGGAGCCGGACCGACTCATCCCACGTGGCCGTTCCTCCAGCGAGGTGGCACTGCCACCCAAATTGTGTCCCTCCCCGTACAGCTCGAACGAGTCCTGTGCTGGAATACTGTTGGAGCGGCTCATACTGGTGCTGGGAAGATTATACTGCGACATACTGGTGGGGCTCACTGCAACACAAATGTCAGGATGTCACAAAAATATCATTTATTTTATATTTGTCCATGGAATAATGAGAAATCAAGATTTCTTTGGGTTCTACCATTACAAAGCATAAATCAGATATGATAGATGTTAACATACGCAGGTTTGAGTAGTGGTATTTGCCGGTGTTGATACTGGTTGTGCCCGGTGGTGAAAGTGGACTTCCTGTGTCCTGCAGTCCTCCAGTGGAGTGAGAACGCAACCATTCCTTTCCTTCCTCGTGTGACGTCTGTCTGGAGGACGGAGGGTACCTTATTGGTTGCAAACAGACTATTTTAGCCATTCCATGAGGTAATATTTTCCCAAAATGTTTCTTCAAAGTATTTTTCGGAAAATACATTCTGTTCCAAATATTGAGTCTATAAAACTGAAAGCACTAAATCTCTGGCTGTGATAGGGTGTAAAAATGATTTATGCAATAAAGCTTGATGATAATCACTGCCCACACAGTCTCACATCCATTGTTCTGCAGTAATAGCTTAAGGCAGTGGGCAGTCTTATCAGCATGCTTGAAAGACAGTTTCCATAAAACTAATGAAGATCGCGTGGATCTTCCTGGCTGGACTATCTTCAGTACACACATCACTGCTGACCTGAGCTGAGCGTTTAATATTAAAATACCATATTGTGACCTAACAGACTATAACTGATTTGCTCACATTGTGATTTACCTGCAAATAGAAGGTCACACGCATGCAGCATTTAGGCAGTATATCTTTCATCATGACAGCAGATTGATGACTCTTTTATAGTGGTTTTAACACAATAGTCTGATTTTATTTAAATGCTGTGCTTATCTTTATGAATACTTAATTGCTTCTTAAAAACATTGTGATGTTTTCCTGCTGTGGTTTCTGTGGTTGTCTCTTGCTAAAAGCATTAATAAATGGACTGGTGAGTCACACAGTTTGACAAGTCACTGTGGATACAGCATGTAAAACATTTTGCCAACACTGCCAGCTTTGTGGTTCATTGTCAGAATGTTGCTATGCAGTTACTAAGGTGTTCTAAGTGGTTGTTTGGTAGTGAATTAATGGCTCAGGTCAAAAGAGGCCATCCCTAAGTCTCTTGATATTCTAGTCTATAGATATGACTCAGGTCCTGCCTTCTGTTATATATATTTTTAAATGAAGTCTCTTTCAGCATGAATACAGTATAAAACAGTACTACACTGAAATATTATTTCAATTTAAATGGTCAGTTTTCAGCAGCTATTAACAGTTTTAAATAAGTCTTCAGTTGTGCTGCTTAATATTTTTGTGGACACTTTTTTTTCCAGAATTCTTTGATTAATATGATCAACAGCATTTGATTTCAATTTGAAATAGAAATATTCTCCTTTCTGAATAAAATAATGAATTTCTTTTCACCTATTTTACCATCCACCAGGTGAAAACAATGTAAGTTTATTTACTTTGAAAAGTAATTACACAAGTCCCTTCAAAAAGCCTCATGATTTGAGCAAGTCTCTTGATATTCTAGTCTATAGATATGACTCAGGTCCTGCCTTCTGTTATATATATTTTTAAATGAAGTCTCTTTCAGCATGAATACAGTATAAAACAGTACTACACTGAAATATTATTTAAATTTAAATGGTCAGTTTTCAGCAGCTATTAACAGTTTTCAGTCTTCAGTTGTGCTGCTTAATATTTTTGTGGACACTTTTTTTTCCAGAATTCTTTGATTAATATGATCAACAGCATTTGATTTCAATTTGAAATAGAAATATTCTCCTTTCTGAATAAAATAATGAATTTCTTTTCACCTATTTTACCATCCACCAGGTGAAAACAATGTAAGTTTATTTACTTTGAAAAGTAATTACACAAGTCCCTTCAAAAAGCCTCATGATTTGAGGTAGTTGGTACAGGTTGAGGTGCCAAAGTCTAGTATTCAGGGTTAGCAAACACCACTTATACATAGATAAACACATGTAGTGGGTAAGTGACACAAGTTTAAAAGCCAATACTAATGATGGAGGTGAGAACATAAAAACATACTTATGAAGACAATTTGATGGATAGGGGTTATATTAGTACCTTAATCCCTTTTTGGGGAGAGTGTTTCTGTCAAGAGGCATGCTATTAAAACAGAAGAAAAACAGGAGTGTTATCTACGACAAACAGGCACTTTGACAGTTTAAATGACTAAGATCATATCATGAATAATAGATTTTAACATCAAACTAACACTCCATTATTTCATTAACATGTAATATGCCTTTTATAAAGCAATATATTATGTCATTCAACGAATACCATTTGTTGGATCTACTCCACTTACCCCTCAGAGAGGGTGGACTTGACACTGCCCGTGCGGGTGACTTTTGGCCCATGGTGGTGTGGGAGCAGCAGGTCTATGGACTCTGAGCTTGTGTGTAAACTGGTCATACTGTGGCAGCTCAGTGTGTCTTTACTGCCTGCAGATGAACTGCTGAGGTTTGGTGGCCAAGGCCGGGCGTTAGAGGGCAGAGAGAGGCCTGACGCCGGACTAGAAGCCAGGGAGTCAGTACACAGATCGGGCGTTTTGCCATATAGCGGGCTGCTGCCTCCGCTCTGCCCACCCATGCTGCCAAGACTACCTGTTCCTGAGGAGGGTGAATCCAGGCTGGCCTGCCGCGCCAGTGTGCCATGGGGGCTGCCCAGAGCTGATGGGCATTTACCAGAGTCAGGGGTACCAGGGGAACTGGGTTTACTGCTGGCCTTACTGCCAAACAACCTGGGCAAAGTGATAAGACAAACAATTGCTCATCAAATCTTGCTAATGTACATTGTTGTAAATGTAAATGTAACCATGCAATTTCACTTAAAAACAAAGTTTCATAACTCAGTTGCCTAAATAATTTAATTGGCCAGCTTTTACTCCTGGCACATAATCAAATCTGCTTTCAGTGGTGGATCTGCCCATGGTTATCTCTGTAAGGCGCCAGCAATAACAGTTAACAGCCTGAGGTGAGGCAAGCAAATCTAGCTATACACTTCACAGAGCAGAGCAGCCAAGACATGTGTTTAAATGGACACACCTAATAATACAGAGATCAGTGCGCTTGAAACACGTCTACTTTAATCAGCCCTGAATTGAGTCTGATCTGAATGGCAAATCACACTCCCTGAGGAGTGTTTCAATATATGCACTTATACACTACAACCACCAGGTGGCAATCTGACCCTCCACCTTCTTGTGTGCAACTGTCCTCTGATGTGGGAGAGAGGTGCTGAGACAGACTGCTAAAGCTGCAATGTGATTTAGATTCTCAGATTCTGTGATTTAGATGGGTTGCTGGTCTAATATGAGAGTCACAGATGGCAGAGTCACAGACTAAAGGGGATACAATGCTAAATGCATAAAATATATAATAAAACTAAATGCATAATTGTGTAAATTAAACAGGTTTAACTTTTTAAAGGCTTTCCACATCTTTTGTTATTGATATGAAGGCTGTGCTCAATCAAACTTCACAGTGTTTTGGCACAAAATCAGCTTCTTAGTAGAAGCTAATCAAATTAGCTTGTTAACATGGACAAGTTGCATAACAAGACCTCATCCACAAAAACAAAACTACAAAAATAAAAGAAAATGAGCCAGACTACATTAAATATACAAATTTATCAGAGTGCAGGGGATAGACATGGTTTGTTCTGACCACAATTTTGTTTTTGTGCAGTAAATCACCGCCTGTCATGAAACCATCAATATTCAAGACACATTTAGAAACCCAAATTCACATTTTTCCTATTTAGCTTATGTCACGGTTAATAAATTTGCATATTGTTGGGCCTATCTTAGTCCTATCTTTATTATCGACACTTTTGATACTGCACTGGGTCCACAGTGAAATCTGGTACCACTGAATTAGATTACATCCTGGTCTATTTATCAGAGCTTTTGTGGGCTGCTGACAACATTTCAGGTTGTCTAATGGTGGCTGGAAGAGATGCAAAAGTGAGACAGAAGACTATAGATATGACTAAAACAATGAGCTCTGTAATCCATCACAAAATTTCCTGGATCTCCAAGGTAAGCCTAAACTCATTGGAGAACCAATTCAGCAGTGCAGCGCAGCCTAAGGCAGCTCACTTCCAGCTCACACACTAAGGAAACATGCTGGAATGCTTCCTCAGCTCTGGCCAAGAGGTCACAACATCACAGGAGTGAGCCAAATCACAAAAAGCAATTGTTCTTTCTTACTGTCTGCCTGTGTCCATTTGTCTCAAGCTAACTGCCTACTTTGCTGTCATATTTTAGTCTTATCTCTGCTTATGTCTGCCTCGTGTCATCTTTGTCTAACTTTTATTGTCCTCCTATTACCCCAGTCATTTTATTTAGAAAGAAAGTCAGTTACCTGCGGAATGTGGGGGATGCAATGTCTGGGTATTTGGAGCCTGGCTGTCTGAGTCCAGTTTGGGTGGAAGTGGGACTGGATTTGGGGGAGGTGGACAACCCTGTTCCCTCCTGATCCGACCCTGCCACTTTCTCCTTATCCGTCTGGTTGATGGTGACTGGACTTGAGCGTCCTGATCCTACTTTCCCAGGGTCTCTTCTCTTTGTGCTGGTTGGGGTTCCTACCACTCCTCCACTCCCTCCCGCAGACTTTCCGCTGACATTCGAATCAATGCTGCTAGAGCTAGAACGATGGCCGCTCCGGCCCACCACGCTGCTTCCCACACTTGATGACTTTGCCGGTCTAGGTAGGGAGCGATACTGGAGTGGAACCTTTGAGCCTCCACAACCTAACAAAACAGCGTCGTCCTGGTGTTGAGCACCATCAAGACTTGTTTTCTGCCCATTACCGATTCCTGTGCCCTTCCCGATGCCTGCAGATTTGGGTACCTTGCCTAGAGTAGCGGAACCACTGGCCAGAGTGGCTCCGCTGGCAGTGATGAGGGCTCCGGCGGGACCCGGAATCTTCTTAAAGCCAAACGAGCTTGTGGTAGGCGGTCGACCAATTCCTGAGGGTGGCTTCTTCCCTTCATCTCCGCTACCCTTGCCCGCATCTGATGGTGAGCGCTGGATACTTGGGCTCTTAGATGGGGCCTTGCCTTTCTCAGATGCCTTGGCATCATCAGTTTTACCTGTCAGCACAAAGATGTTTGTTATGGCACTGGTACCTCCTGCTTAATCATGGCCAGTTTTTTCACATTTTTTACAAATAATTTTACAACCCAATCAATCATCACCAATACAATACAAAGCCCCTCTGTCAAACACTGCTGTGTTCTAGCCAATGGCACTTTTTTGGCAACTCAGCAAACAGCACAGTTAAGGTACTCTCTGACAAAATTACTTGTTCCTGCTGAGTATCCACACAAAAAAAAACAGTAGCTAGACAGAGCTTCGGTTGCAAAAGTTGGCTGAGATAAAGAAAAAGTCAAACACTCAACAGTCCCTTAAAGTTATCAAAAAGCCTCTTCTCTTTTGATTTCACCTTTTCTGTGAAGCTACAGTAAGCAATTTTCTGGAATACCATGCATAAAAGGCCCCCTACTGACAGATATCACTGAAATTGTGCAGCCTTTGGTTTTGTAACCAGCTAAAAGGAATCCTTTTCTTTCATGCTTCCTTGCAGAAACTTGCGGATTCCATTCTAAATGTTCTTTAGAAAACTGACATTTTGAAAGGGTACCTATAGGTTTTCTAAAGGGCCAATGTGTCACTCTGAGGAACTACTGCTTCAAGTATCTTTTTTATTTTTTACAACACACAACTGTATTAGAGTTTGATACCTGGTGTTTTGAGAGAGGTGGATGTGCCTTTGGTCCGTGGTGGTGTGATGCTAACCTGGGCACTCATGCCCCTCCTCCAGGAGCCTGTTTGAGACATGGACAAACCTGTCTTCACTCCTCCACTCCCTCCCGCAGACTTTCCGCTGACATTCGAATCAATGCTGCTAGAGCTAGAACGATGGCCGCTCCGGCCCACCACGCTGCTTCCCACACTTGATGACTTTGCCGGTCTAGGTAGGGAGCGATACTGGAGTGGAACCTTTGAGCCTCCACAACCTAACAAAACAGCGTCGTCCTGGTGTTGAGCACCATCAAGACTTGTTTTCTGCCCATTACCGATTCCTGTGCCCTTCCCGATGCCTGCAGATTTGGGTACCTTGCCTAGAGTAGCGGAACCACTGGCCAGAGTGGCTCCGCTGGCAGTGATGAGGGCTCCGGCGGGACCCGGAATCTTCTTAAAGCCAAACGAGCTTGTGGTAGGCGGTCGACCAATTCCTGAGGGTGGCTTCTTCCCTTCATCTCCGCTACCCTTGCCCGCATCTGATGGTGAGCGCTGGATACTTGGGCTCTTAGATGGGGCCTTGCCTTTCTCAGATGCCTTGGCATCATCAGTTTTACCTGTCAGCACAAAGATGTTTGTTATGGCACTGGTACCTCCTGCTTAATCATGGCCAGTTTTTTCACATTTTTTACAAATAATTTTACAACCCAATCAATCATCACCAATACAATACAAAGCCCCTCTGTCAAACACTGCTGTGTTCTAGCCAATGGCACTTTTTTGGCAACTCAGCAAACAGCACAGTTAAGGTACTCTCTGACAAAATTACTTGTTCCTGCTGAGTATCCACACAAAAAAAAACAGTAGCTAGACAGAGCTTCGGTTGCAAAAGTTGGCTGAGATAAAGAAAAAGTCAAACACTCAACAGTCCCTTAAAGTTATCAAAAAGCCTCTTCTCTTTTGATTTCACCTTTTCTGTGAAGCTACAGTAAGCAATTTTCTGGAATACCATGCATAAAAGGCCCCCTACTGACAGATATCACTGAAATTGTGCAGCCTTTGGTTTTGTAACCAGCTAAAAGGAATCCTTTTCTTTCATGCTTCCTTGCAGAAACTTGCGGATTCCATTCTAAATGTTCTTTAGAAAACTGACATTTTGAAAGGGTACCTATAGGTTTTCTAAAGGGCCAATGTGTCACTCTGAGGAACTACTGCTTCAAGTATCTTTTTTATTTTTTACAACACACAACTGTATTAGAGTTTGATACCTGGTGTTTTGAGAGAGGTGGATGTGCCTTTGGTCCGTGGTGGTGTGATGCTAACCTGGGCACTCATGCCCCTCCTCCAGGAGCCTGTTTGAGACATGGACAAACCTGTCTTCTGGCCAACATCCTCACCCTGACATGAGGAGGAAGGGGATGAAGTCTTCCACTTGTCCATCCCTGGCTCCATCTCTTCATCAACCTTCCTCAGATCCTCAGCACCAACCCAGCTGCTAGCATCCTGCTCGGTATGTCTGTGTGTATCTTTATTTGACTGTGAATCACACAGACACACAGAATAAAGCTCACACACACACAGAAATCTCACTTTGGCAATCCATCGGACATATGACCAAACTTTTCTTACTAGCCAAAGCAAAATGTCCAAAACTCTCAGTCTGTTCAATCTGCTGTGGCCTACTGACAGATTGCTGATACAAAGCTAATTATAAAAACGAGGCGAAAACATACATAAGACTAGAGTGTATGCACACCTGTGCTGCTTTGCTTTCGCGAGATGAGATGCCAGAATACGTGGGTGGATTCAGATCGTCAGTGCCGATGTTATCTAAAGTATCACTCAAACCACTGCTGACTGAACTACTGTCATCCCAGCTGTAAAGACAAAAAGAGAAAAGTGTTAAAAAATAAAACCTTATAAGCAGAAACAAAAACTTTATTCTTCTTATTCACATCCCAAAAGTATCACTTAACTCATATTTAATGTAAGCTGATAGACCAACATACAATCATGACCATGACTGTCAAATCATTCAGCATTATTGCTTTTACTGTGCAAAGAAAAAGTACTCATTATTATCATGCCTGGTTAAAAAAATAGTGTATCACTAATGCACCTTTTCTGTTAGGACATTATTTGTCTGTTTTATGAGCATTGTCCCATTCATGCCTTGTTTTTTTTTTAAGGTTTTATCTTCTGGAAACCCACAAGGGTTGTCTTTCATTAGAACTTTCCAAACATTCATCACAAGGACCAGGACTGAAAATATGATTCCAATGCACGTACATTCATATTTCAAAGCCCACTATTGTTGACTCACTGTCACCATCTTATTCATATTCATTTGCTTAATTAGTCCACTCTGTGGCTTCGCCACTTCAATTCTCATTAACTGTTGACAATATTTTTTTCTTTTCCCCAGGCTTTACGTTCTCATTCCTCTTCATTTACCAGACCGTGTCTAATTAATGAAGGATATTAAACAGTAGCTTTGACACTCTCGACTTTGTTGACCCAGTTGAAAATCCTAGAGGAAAGCTGGGTGTGAATGCATATGAAGTTATTACTACTGCCAAAGTGGAAATGAGCAGACTTGCGTAACATGGCCCAGTCAATTGCAAACTCATTTTCTGTCTATTACACCAGATAAATCATATGCTGTTGTTTATCGCCTACTGTCTTTCTCTCGTGTTGCTAAGAGAACTCTGTTTGATCATGTGTGTGCACACATATGTCCTCAAATTTATTTAATCTGATCATAGAGATATTGTGCTCAATTCTTTGATGACTAGTGGCGGTTTGCTGCCCGGCTCTACAGACAAAATTGATAGCTATACCGACATAAAATCCATTTAGACAAGACAAAGAGAAACATCCTGGCATTTACTGACATATTCTGACATAAAAAAGAGATCTCTGAAATATTCAAACCTCTTTCCTGATGTCAGTATCTACAGTTCAATTATTCATATCGATTCTAGGATTCTGAGTAATGCTTACAGAACAATGTTGGCATTGAAAATTCTATATATTTACATCTACCCAGGAGACGTGCCTGTCCAGGATGTTTCGTCGTCTTCTTGAAATGTTTGATGAGCTAGTAAAGATTCTCTCAACTTTTATAATATATGCAGGACAAGAGCGAGAAGGAAAGAAAAGTTTGTGAGGCTGAAAGTGACTGAAATAATAATTGTGAGAGACCCCGCAGGGCTCTTAACACCAGCGTGTGGGTGTTTCTGAAGATTCCAGCATTAGAAAGAGGCTCGGTGGGTGAGAGTATGTGCGCAATCACTCTAAAAATATAATTATTGATTTTTCAACATCCTTGTTTCTCCCTTATTTAACTCCAGGAGCACTTGCCACATTTAGCTTGAGATCTCATACTGTTATACAATCATGTAAATTAAAGATTAGAGATGCCAAACTTTAAAGGCTATTATACAACAGACCGGTTTCTTAAATCTGATTAGATGGACATTTGAAGCCAATGTAACAAAGCTGATATATGATTACATCTGACTGCACAAATTCTATACTAATGCAACAAGCTGCTACAAAACATTAAACAGTCTACAGTTAGATAAATTAACTATATTACTTGTGATCCTCCCAGTCAATTGGGATTTCAAGCATAAGATGCATTAAAAACTGATAACATCAACAATGGCTGTGCCTAAAAACTTGTGTCTAAACTATGCATTAGTTGGAACTTTTCAAGAGTGAAATGACTTCAGTATCTAGTGGCTTGACACACATTAGCAGCAAATGTTTTAAGACCTGGGTAGAGTTATTGACTTGTTGGTGGAGTTCAGATGAATGTTAAATCAAGCTTAATACTGCAAGTTAAAGTGCAAAGTGTTGCAACTGCGCACCCACACAAATCAATAGCCACCAAAGCTCCAATCCAGTTGACAATTTCCTAATATGCACTCTGCTGAAACCTTACCCTGCCTGAGAGCTTTCTAGGGGTTTCTGCCTTTTCTGCATGTGCCCTCCCACTATGTAACAGTAAACATCTAAAACGGTGGTACTCAAGCTTAGGTGGGCATCCTTTGCCAGCAGGACAAGTTTTGGCAAGGGCACACTGGTTAAGGTCACCTTGACAGTCTTGTTTCCACACACCCTTGTCCCCACTGAGTGAGCCCACTGCTTTGAGAGAATGACATCAGCAGGAACAGAGCACAGTCACTGTTATGCAGCCAGAATGGTGACAAAAGCTCTACTTTAAAACTAGACTTCGCAGGAAGCTGCAAGTAGGAAACAGATTGTCTAATTTTGGGTGTTCATTTTAAAAATGTCTTTTTGGGTTTGACTGTTTCATATTATTTCATAATATATTAATTTTTGACTAAAACTAATGCTTAGGGCCATGGGCAGCATTTCAAATATATATATTCCTGGTAATTGACCATGAGAAATGAACTGTGACAAATGTTATATATCGAAGCACATTGTCAATGATGGCAAAATGAGCTGAAAATGAGTTCCCTTTAGTGCGGTGTAAGATAACAGTACATGGCTTTCCATAAAGCACATGACTAGGATTTGAAACAATTTGACTGTTTAAAAGCATTACCATTTTTTTTACACGTAGCAATTGCTGCCTTCTTATGCTAATTCAGGTAAATATAATTTTCTGTTCTCCTGAACACATGGAAATTAATCTAAATATCAATCAATCAATGTTTTAATGAAGTAAGTGAATAATAACCTCAGCATTTGGCTTCTTAGACTAAAATTTGTCACAGATAATTCAGCAGAACAGTCTCGGGGTGACTGTCAGTGAGAAATGTGATGCCCTACAGACAGCGGTGGCTCCTGGAATAGGCAATATATGATAAGCAGTCTGTTAGGGTGGCAACATTCTCTGAGATGGCAGGAAGCTCCGCCTCCACATACAGTGAGACAAACAGTCCACTTTTGAGTTATCCACTGCCGTTTTACAGGAACATATGCATGCTGTCTGTTCCAATCATTCTCATTTAAAATGAATTGTGACAAGTTAGCAGATATGTTTTTCCAAGCCTTGCCATGAACTTTCCTTCGCTATCCACTCTTACGCATTGTAGGCTGCTATGCATAACATTGCCCATGAGAAAATGCTAAAATGCTATGCTTTATATGCTAAAAGCCAACACAGATCAAGTTAATACAATCTGAGCACTAAGCTGTGGAAGAAGCAGCTGACTACCACAATCTGGTATGCTTTACTGGGACTGTACAACATGATTTCACTGTGATTCAGTATAGTTTTATAAACAACAGTCAGATATAATGCTGCTAGCGAGATAAAGACCCTAGAGAGCTGCCCTAGAAGCTTGCCTATATGAGCTGACTATTTTATTCTTTCATGTGCTGCTGTATCTGTGACGGGACTGACACAGGGTGCCAGGGTGACATGCAGTCTCTGGACTATGTCATTAGACACCGGTCCATTCATGACAGCAATTCCAGCCTGAGAAAACACACTCAAACTGCCTGCAATGTTTGCCTCCACTTGTGTCTTATTGAAGGAGATGTCTTTTCTAGTTATAACCCATCCATAATTCACATCAGCCAAGATGCTACATAAAATGTGTTTCTGACTCTTTTTGACTCACGCACCTGCGTTTGGTTGGGTGAATATTTTCCACAGATTGTTGTTTTTTTTATTTAAATGCCTCACAGTATGAGTGTTGGCATTCACTTTACTTGCGTTGAGTGTGCGGTGCAAATGTCCATTCAAGCGTGCAGTAATATTCTCATGCAATATTCAGTGATGAAAGAACCATGCAACAATAACACTCAATAAAACAAAATTTGCATCCTACGTGGATCAAAACAAATCAATTTCTCGATCACTAGCTGTGTCCATTGGTCTGTTAAATATGTTGCATGCTGTGGCTTAATTATGGCAAAGCAACATATTTCAGAGGAAATTAACCATTGTATCTGTATGGTTGCATTACAGTCCTGTACCTATATATATATATATATATATATATATATATATATATATATATATAAAGAACAAATGCTGTCTTTTAAGTGTATGCAGCCATCAGCAAGTCATTTCCACTTCTATAAATCAAACATTACCCTTAAAGAAGAAATGTAACAATTCAAAGATTACCATAAGAAGTCTTCAGGGCATGATGCCATGTTAATTCTTTTTTTAAATTCTTTTTAATCAACAAAATTTACAACATTTAGCAGTCTTCCGATTACACTGATATAATGACACACTGAAAGGTTTTTCAAATGTACAACATAAAGAATAATCCAATTTAACAGAGTAAATCTTGTCAACAAACATAAAAATGAAAACAAAGTACTTTGTACTAACCTGAAGTTAATATCTAGAGCTTTAGCTGTACATTAAACCAAATGGTGACAGGCCTGTTAGAGTCACCAACATACCAAAGTATGTCTCATAACCAGTGACCACTATTGAGTGAGGCGAAAGGGTGAACACTAACTCACCGCCCTGCGATTGATGCTGTCTGGCTGTCTGCAAGCTGCCCATGTCATGCTGTAGCTCCAGGGGAGGAGAAATCAAGAGAAGAAAAGCAAAGGAGAGGGAAAAAAGGAGGGGAAGAAGATAGAGGAAGAATGCAACCTACCTGCTTGGTTGCGAAACACGGGCTGGAGGGAAGAGAGCAACATCTCGCCACTTCTTACAGCTCCACCCCACCCCCCACACCTCACCCCTCCCCTGGGCCCATCATGCACTCTAAAAAATGCTTCAGACATCCTCAACCAACTGGGGCGTTGCCAGAAGAGACAGACTCCAATCAAAGTCAGAGTCAGGGTCAAACTTGAAGTTGCAGGCTGGGTAACACAAGGGAAATGATGCACAATGACCTTTAGCCACTGGAACTTTGGGAACTGGAAA